CCTCGACGTCGCCGAGAAACAAAAAACTTCAACTGACATTGGAAAAGCCGATAAAATACTGTATATGGTTATCGTGTTAGTAGTCAGTGAGAGTGTCTTGCTCAAGACAAGAATAAACTCGTGTGTACATGTGGAACTCCTTCAACCATTTTGTATATCTTTGTCGATTATTCCGGTAAACCAATAAAAATATTTCCAGGTACAAAYAACGGCTGTGTTTCTTGCTTGCTCTGGGTTAGACTTGTATAAGTGTCTAAATATTCAGAAATACCAAGTAAAGAATGAACRACTTCAACAATRCTAACACTTTGAAATACTATAGACTTTCACTGAAAAAACCTGAATATTGTACACAAAATTSGAGGCCAACCCTGAGAAACAGATAATTCATTTGAAAATTTTATTCGTTTTTATTCTTATTCTCATTGATAAACTTTGGACCATACCTCCAGACCCAGTGCTGAAGCGCAGTATGGCATCGCGAAGCATTTACGGCTATGCCGGAGATTTTGGACCCGACACCGCTATCCAGTGACTGATCAGGAAGCTCGGCCGAAGCCTAAGGGAGAGGTTAGTCGGCCCCTAGACCGTAAATGATTAACTCCTTGCTATGACCAGCGATATATTGATCTTTTCTTTAGTGAGTACTTTCTTGTGGTCGCGTTTTTTCATGTGGGAATAGAGTTTTGACGTCATTTCATTGAGAAAAAAGCGAACTGCGCATGCTCAAGTTCGCAATCAAGGGCGAATTGAACACGCCCAAAACTCTTTCAATAATTCATAAAAGGCAATAAATTTTAACCCATGAAGCTGTCGTGTCAACCTTTCTTATTTTAAAGACGTTTTTCACTTGGTGGGATTATTGCTATTATTTCATTGATAATCTATTAATCCACCCCTTAATCCTTAAGCCAACATCACAAAGGAACCAAGGAACAAAGGAACACTGACAAAAGGGCAGATTTTTTGTTTAACTTTGCAAGGTCTCGACGTATTCATAAATCACGAAAGAAGACCTAGTTCTTCTTGGAATAAACTAATTACTGTGTAAACTACTCTATAAGATGTCTGTCAAGAATCATAAAGACTCTAAAAAAAAACTCATAATTTTCAAAAACTATATCGCTTAATATTTATCAGTTCATTCAGAAAGTTTAACTTGTTTGGAAGTGGAGATGACCGATGTAAGTGGAATCAAAGTGTTAACCCAAAGCAAAACTTTTATTCGAAAATGAGGTTTAGGCCTTCATTTGCTTATTTCCCCTACATTTTCTATAAAAAAAGCCCGACAAAGCAAGATTCTAACACAAATGCAACAAAACATCTTTGTATAATTGAAAATACCGCTTCAAACAGGCATTTTATCATAGTACATAAGTTTCTAACTGTTTAAAAAAGGTTTTGAGTGTTAACCCAAAACGAAAATTGGGATCAAAACTCATACGAAAGTCTAGTTTTTGGTGCTTTTTGCCATTATTGCACATTATTGAAAAACAATTTCCTCTTAAACTGTGCTAGCCTTTTCTGGAGCGAAACTTTTTTTTTCAACGTAAAACAAATCAGTTTGGACTTAAAACGATAATATATTTTTTGCATTTTAGAATCTTTTATTTCATCAATTAACTACTTATCTTCCTAAATAAAAAGTCGGATTTTTAAAATCTATTTTAATTTTAATTATATATTATTTCAATCCACTTTTGTGCAATTAACGGTCGCTCCACCTGATACTTAATAGTTTTTTTAAAATTTCAGTTCATAAATTTCAAAAAGATTTCAAAGAATATTTGACAAATTTGACAATTTTCATATCATGTTTTCGCATTCTAGCTTTCTAATTGAGGTCAAGTACAGACGGAGAATCACTAAAGTGTTCCAAAACGCTCTACCACAAAAAGAAAATTGTTCTTTAGCATTTAAAGATTGCCATAGTATTTTCTCATTAAAAAAACAATGAGGTATTTTCAAAGTTGTTCAAAAGGCAAATCCTAGGAACAGTTTTACTAAAATTGAACAAAGAAACATCATTGTCGTTACGTGACTTACTTAGTAAACAAGAGTTTGAAGAACCTTGAGTAAATAGTTATCAAATACAGTCGTAAAATACGAACAAGCTTTGAACAGCTTTGAAAGTTTAACAAGTATATGTGAAATGAGGTTCAATCCTTGAAATTTTGAATTGAAGCTAAAATAAAAGATTTATAGATTTGAAGTTGGAGAATGATGTCAAAAGATTATTAACTAGTGACATTGTCAAATTATTTATCTTAGATTCTAGACAGATTCCAGCGTTGTTAAATGAATAAGACCTCTTATTTTAGGTTGCAAAACAAAGCATTTAACGAGGGAAATGATTCAAATTTTTAAATAAAAATTATCATTAATGACAGGCAAAGACATGTATAATAGCACATGACATCAAAACCACTACAGGCAGCAAAATAACTACAAAGACCTTAAAATTAAAGCTATAATTACATTATTAACCAAATCAAAATTTGGCTGCTTTTTCAGCTAATATAAAGGATGCACACTTTATATCGGTTTTATCCCTTCTGAGAAACGAGAGTTAAATATTTTWTCAAGCTAGATTTAAACGATATAAATATACCTACCTTAGAGATAATTTATCGCATCCACACTGACCTTGCTTGGTAGGATTGATCTTAAATCTTGAAATATATCCTCTAAATCGAGTCTAACACCAAAATTGTACCTTTTAATAAATCTGTTAAGCTCAATTTAAATATCGTAAAACAAAGCAAGTGAAAAGCTTAAGATAGCTAATAAAAGCCGAAGGTATAGTGTGCGAGGCGTTGATCAACGACGTGATGTTTTTCCAAGCAGCGCGAAGTATCACGTCACAGGTGGTGTCCTAGCAACGTACCCGGGTTTGTTTGTCATCGTTTTGATGGCCCCGGTGGCAATAGAGATAATAACTTCTAAAGACTTGAGTGTTTACTTCCGTTTGAAGGAGATCGCATTGTTTTCAAATGAAGACCAGGAAAACTATAGGGATTAATGAGTAATTGTCGAGTATTCTGACGTGGTTTCCGCAACTTGGAGCGTAATAAAAGAGGCTTACCTTGCCTTGCACGTTCGCCTAATGCTCTTCTCTTCTTTCCCTATATATTTCAGCCCTTTCTCTACAACAGCAATGAATTTTTTTTCATACAGAAAATTGCCTAGATTTTTTCACAGTTTAGCTTACACAAAAGATATTAGTCTAAATTAGAAATATGAAGTAACTTTATACATCAAATTTTTTATTCATAAAAGACTTAGATGGCCATGGTTTAATGTATGTCAGTCTCTTGAGTATTACTTCTTTCTTTACTAGGAATGCTTTTCAGCTATGGTGCAATGTTTACCCATTTCAGACCACGTGTCATTCCCTTGAGTATCGTTTCTTTCTTTACTAGGAATGCTTTTCAGCTATGGTGCAATGTTTTCCATTTCAGACCACGTGTCATTCCCTTGAGTATCGTTTCTTTCTTAACTAGGAATGCTCTTCAGCTATGGTGCAATGTTTTCCCATTTCAGACCATGTGTCATTCCCTTGAGTATTATTTCTTTTTTTCCAATGCTTTCTCATTTCAGATTCTGAGACCTTTCTTGAAAATTGAGTATCATTTCATTCTTTGATAAAAATGCTTTCCAGCTCTTGAACTTTAAGACCTTTTTGGGATTTGCAAAATACCGCCTTCATAAGCGATAGACACTCACTTAGGGTCAGCCTCAATTTAGTGTCCAAATATATTCACAAATACGAAGGGTAAAGTAAAGAATGCACATTTCAACTTACCKCCATTTGCATTGCTAYGCAGCCACCCCAGACAAAAATCGCGACGTGCACTTTGCAATAGACTGCCGTCAATCAAACCCGTTGACATCAATTACACGCGTGTGTGATTCAAAASGCGCCAAAACTTGTCGATTGTTTACAAGTATTATGAGCCACACTCACCGGGCCTATCTGGGCCGATCCAAACGCGTGTAAATGACAAAATCTATAAAATCTATCAGTTTTCTCTGTAATCACAGAGTGGAACAATCACGAACGGAGAGATCCATGCTAGGTGAAAGCCCAAGATTGAATTGGAATTTAGAAGTTGGTTTTTGCGGAGGGAGGAAAACCGGAGAACCCGGAAAACCCTTGAAGCACAGGAGAGAACCAACAAACAACTCAACTCATATACGACACCGAGCTCGTAGGGACTCGAACCCGGGTCGCATTGGTGAGAGGCGAGCACTCTCACCGCTACGCCACCCATGCTTCCCTGACGTCAACGTCTTTGATTGGAGTGGCCGTGTAGCAATGCGAATGGCGGTAAAAATACTACACTTTAAAATTTAACGGATCTTCGCTGTAACACGTGAATAATGTTCACAAAATCAAGGCTGTCCCTCAGCAACAGAGATTTTGAAACTGAAGTATTTAACGGTCGTCGAACCAAACTGCAGAGTACCACAGGTAGCCCATAGAAAAATAATTTAAGTACTAGGAAATGTGTACAGCCATGAGAATAAGATAATACATAATTACGATCAAAAGACACAGGGATCCCAACACTACTGACGCGAATCCCCATCGCCATGCCTGKTGGGAGTTGTAGATCGCGCCCACTCGGTTACCATGGTAGTAATCAGAATTCACCTGTTGATCAAGGGATAGGAGTTAGTTTGGAATACGCGTAATATTGATTCACATGTGAAGCAAAGTGTACCCGATAGAGGTAGAGTGACTCCATTGCGCATGCGTGGACCTTACGGACCGTGCCGTGAAGGTGTCATGCCCGAGCACTTTCATTGGCTTTAGAAGTGATCTGGAGCACTGTATCTGGTTCAACAAATCGGGCTGATGAAATTGCACCATCACATACCTGCACCCATAATACAGCTTGGGCTGCCTGTGGTTGGTTGACAGAACAATAAAATCCCTGTGCTCTCGGGAATTGAATTCTTTCTCATGTAAAACGATTGTATTGTTCCTGCCATCTAATATGGCTGCCATTACGTGATGGTGTTAAAAAGGTCTCCTTTCGATGCAAATGCACGCCTGGCCTACCTTGAAGATGGCACAGGGAACTTTGAAGGGGACTATTGACTCATGCACGCATGCGCATATATTTTTCTTACCTGTATGGCGTGACACAGTGAYATCAGTCCACACGGACATGCGCAGAACAATGTGCTAAGGAAGCTAAGTGTCATGTGATTTTCAGGCTTTGGTTCTTGGAGTACTTGTCGCTAGGCAACATATATTCATATTATCAGAACGTTGTCTAATAAAATTATTTTGCTTTTTTAAAGGGTTGTCGGACCAATGAGAACTCGCTATCTCACCTGGCTCGAGTAGCCATTGTCTATCACAAAAGACCGCTGACCAGTATTGACAGTGGTGGTACTATTCCCATCATGCACCTCGATAGCTATCGGAAGAGAGTGTGACGTCAAGGGAGGGAGAGACGAAGAAGCCTGGGGAGGACTGGTTTGATTCACTTGTTCCAGCCCTTCTTGTGATGTTGGAKGTGGTCCTTCATAGGAATGAGGAAGAGCTGTATGTACTGACGAATAAAAGTAGGAAAAGTTAAAATTAGGATAAATGGAAGGGATAGGATGGGAAATATGAATGGATGGGATGGA